TAAGCCAGAGAGAGAACTGAGCCCCAAGGAAGCAGATATGTTCTCATGCCTATGGCTTCTGTGTGAAAACAGTTTTGCACATGCAGCACCAAAAACACTCCCCTTACACTTGCACTGCTTTGCTTACTCTGTTAACAAGGGGCAATAGTGTCTCTTTGGGGCTGAAAACTCAGCAGCGTCCACAGCACTCAACTCTTTTCAAATAATCAACTTAAAGTAAAAAAAAATGCACTCCGAAGATAAAGCCATTTGTGCTGCCCGACTCACTGAGCTCTTGCCAAAGCAGATACAGAAATGTCAGGGAGCCAGACCTGCACTTACGCTCAGGTTCTAGAAGATGACAAGTCTAGAAAAACAGCCTAAGGCTTTTTGTACGTAAAATTCCAACAGAAATGACTTTTGGTTAGTGCTCTTCTGAAACACTGTGCAATGTAAACATTGCCACCCAGTGCTGGTTCATGAGAACGACAACATAAAAATCAGGAAACCTATTTTCATTGTTCAACTTAACTAACATGCAGTAAAAGCTAACAAAAGAAATGGGGAGAGAGACTTAAGTTACTCATTAGAGCAATAGCAAATAACATTAAAACGTGGTGAGTACAGACAGAACACCACACATACATGTTACACGTGTACAAATGCATCAGCACAAAGCTGGAGAATCTATAGCTAGTAACTCAAGAAATGTGTTTTTTTCCTTTAACAAATTGTCCTGCTGGGCTTACAATAAAGCTGAAAAATGTTACAAAGACATAAGGAAAAAAAAGCACACCGTGGTTCCGAATTTGGGTTTCACTTGACCTCCTCCCCTCACTCTGAAGTGTTCAAAAGCAGGTTTATTTCACACAAACTAGAAAGAATCACCTGGGTCACTCTGCCAAGTAACTGCAATACACAGGCAGCCATGTAACAGACTGTAGCCCACAGAATATCCACTCTGTTTACAACACGGATCACAAAGAAAGGAGGCAGATCACGGGCTGCCAATTTTCTTTCAGTGGCAGGGAATTTATTTCGTGGAAATTCTCTAGTAGGCTATATTCCCAATTACAGACAGAGGCAGAAAGAGAAGAGGGAAAAACAAAAGGCAACAAAAATAAAGATTCCAATTGTGCCCCTCAATCGGCCCAGAAGGAAAGCTTCCTCCCAAGTCCAAAATAAGCCTGCATTTAACCCTGAAGAAAAGGTACCCCTTCAGCACCCACAAATGCCTCTCAGTTTCTAGGAGAGGCAAACCCATCCAACATACCCCAGTTCAGAGGTATCCATCTACGGGATTTTTATTTGTGCTCCTTTTTACCGTTAATACTTGTTCAGGTAACCAAATAGCAAACTACATTTCCTGAAACCACCCAACAAACAAGCCTGGTTTGTGGCACTGTAGAAACATCCATCTTGTACCGAAAGACCTACCTCGGACAGGCTGACGAGTGCCTCATGTGTCAGCGATTGGTCCAACCCCGTGGCAGCAAGCTGCTCCTACAAACAGGAAAGAGGTCGTTCATATCTGACCACAAAATGTAACAGGGAGGAGAAAGATTTAAACCATTTCCTTGGGTTTTGGTCTAAGCAGGCAAGCAAGAACGCAGTTTGTCAGTAACAGAAACATGTGCTGTTTGAACCACAGCGATAGCTGGTATATGAAATCATTTGCTACTAAAATTTATATCAAGAATAACAAGTCTTTCCAGAAAACTACTGGGAGAAAAGCACATGGCAAGACTGGGAAGAGGCTTCTCAGCAAAATGTCATCAACTCTAATACATTCTCCCTCTCATATTTGTCAAGGTATCAGACAGCATCCAAGTGTTAAATAAAGCATTCACATGTCCTTCACCATGCAGGAAAGGTGAAGGAGAAGACAGTACAACTTCTGCCTTCTGTGTTTAATCATTCATTAATTTAAAAAAATGCAATATTCATAATTTTGACAGACAATTTACCTCAGTGTATCAGCTGCTCTACTGGTAGCTGTCTGTATACTCTTATTAAGTGACAGTACCTCACAATAAGCACAAGGTAGTCTGAACTAATACAGTTCTTGGTGAAATAAGAGAAAGTGTCCTTGCGTTTTTACCATAGGGTGTCCTGGAGAGATAACATGAACATAGCAGGAACAACTGAAGTGCAGTAACACATTGTCCTGTTAGCCCAAGATTCCTAAATCCTGGAGTTTAGGAAGCTCCAGGGATGTCTATAACTACAACTTTGGGCCCGACCAACCATGACTGTGCCATCCTGTCACAACGTCTTGTTAGAAAATTCCTTCCATCTACCTCAGCATCCTTGATCCTGATTTTTAAATCCTTAGATTTCTCTTTCAGGAACTGCAAGCTCTTGGATCGGCTCTCAGCTTTGATGTTTCCTGCTTCCAGAAGGCTCTCTGTTTTTTTAATATCCCTTAAAAAAATATCAAAAGAAACAAACTTTTACATTAAAAAAGATGCCAGTATACAAATACTGCTTAATTATCTATGCTCAAGCTAAACCCTGTAATACAATCAACACGAGCAGGGAGAGAATGCAGAAAAACTGGCATTTCCCTGTGAGATTTCCCAGTGGAAACACCCACAGCTGTTACATCCAGAGTCCCAAAGGCCAGGGAAAAAAAAGGCCAAGGGAAAAGCCATCTGCATAAAAGCAAAGAGTAATAGTCTTCTGCATAATTCCCTAATTCAGTTAGAGACCTGTTACGCAAGCTTAACTTAAGGTCACAGAGAGGGGCCATGGCAAACCTGCACAAAGCACACAGGCCTGCTATCTTTGCTACAAGCAGTGCCGCAATTACTGCTTTAAATGACAAAAAACAGAAAATAATTAGACTGCAAGGGGGCTGTGGAGATCATCCGGGCCAATCCCCACTCAAGGCAGGGTTGATCCTGCTATGCTTGGCAAAGCACTTCAGATTACATCCTCTAGGGAATGGACTCGGTACTGATTTTTTACTTTTTTTATTTTTAAGTCTCCCACACACTGGTTAAAGGAAATTATTATCTGGGAATGGTTTTTGTTTCGCCCGGCTCCTTTGCTCTGACTACAGAGCCCACGCTAAATGTGGTAAGAAAATCAGGTTTGCCTTCAACCTCAGATGAAGGCAACTGTTGCAAGATGCCAGCCCATATCTGAAAACTGCTTGTAGACCGTTTTTGGTTTAAAATAATGGGTTTGATGGTACCCCAAATCTCTGTTGATTACTGAATGTGTCCATAGCACATGGCTTTTGATAGATACTTCCAAATATTGTGAATTAGTGATGTGCCAAAACCCTGAAAATTCAGTTATCCTTGTTAGTTATCACAGCCGATGTTGCACATTGCAGGGATCAGCAGTACTGCTTACATCTTTCCCTTTTCTCATCCATTACTCACTGCTCTAACTGGTTTTCCAGCACCAGCGCTGCAGTTAGTTTTTTCTTCATGTTGGTCAGTTCCACTTCCAGTTCTCTGTTTTTTGATTCTGTTGCATACAGCTCCGCGGTCATCTCATTGATGGCACAGAAGAAGCTGGTGAAAAGAGAGATTCAGTGGGAATGCTTGGGAGTCAGCTCTCCTGAAACTCAGAATTATTATTATTTTCTCCACACTTTCCACAAATGACTTCTTTTTTGTTCTTATATTATGACACATCAGATAACTGCCAGCTATTTTAGACAGTCGTGGTTTAACCCCAGCCAGCAACCAAGCACCACACAGCCACTCGCTCACTCCCCCCCGGTGGGATGGGGGAGAGAATCAGAAGGGCAAAAGTAGGAAAACTTTGTGGGTTGAGATAAGAACAGTTTAATAACTGAAATATAATTAATAATAATTAATAATCAATAAATAGTAATAAATAATAATTAATGATGACGATGATGATGTAGTGAAAAGGAAAACAACAAAGAGAGGAACAAAACCCAGGAAAAACAAGTGATGCAACCGCTCACCACCTGCCAAACGATGCCCAGCCCATCCCCAAGCAGCAATCGCTCTCCCCAGCTTATGTATGGAGCATGACACCATACGGTATGGCATAGCCCTTTGGCCAGTCTGGGTCAGCCGTCCTGGCTGTGCCCCCTCCCAGCTTCTTGTGCACCTGGCACAGCAGGGGAAGCTGAAAAGTCCTTGAGCAGTGTAAGCACTGCTCAGCAACAACAAAACATCAGTGTGTTATCAACATTATTCTCATCCTAAACCCAAAACACAGCACGATACCAGCTACTAAGAAGAAAATTAACTCTATCCCAGCTGAAACCAGGACACCTGGTGTATAACTTCTGGTATAACACAGATGGTTTTAATCTATTTCCTTCTGAAATGAATTTCAAAACTTGGATTGGGATTGAGATACCATATGTGGTAGGCAGGAGTGAGGGAAGGCACAGTGCCTACAGCCTCAGCCCAGCCACACTGGGCAAGCGTGGGAG